TGCTGGATTGATTTCTCATGTTCCCTTATAATTTTGAAGCAATTTTTCTTTTCCTGGTCACTAATTGCAATCTTATTTTCTATATCTGAAATTCTGTCCTCACATTGGCTCATTCTGCTGTGTAGACTTTCAATGGAGATTTTCATCTGGAAATCTATTTGCGTCTGTTTTATGGATTCCATTTGTCTCCTATATTGGGATTCCATCATGTTCCTGAGCTCCTCTCTCGATTTATTAATCATGTCTTCTACTAGGAGCACAATTTCTCCTGTTATCTGAGAAATTATTTCTGATTTCATCTTTTCCAGATCCCCTTTTGTTGCCAGATCAGTGGGTCCAGGTGGTTGAGTATAAGAATGTTCTACCTCATTTCCATTTTGGATTGCTGTAGATGATCTGGAAGTCTGGTTTTGAGACTTATTTATGTGTTTTCTCATTTCCATTGTGGGGGCAGTGCGGGTACTGTTGGTGCCCGTGTGGCTCACCTCCTCTGAGCTGGGAGTGGTGTGACAGGGGCCAGGAACAGTGGTAGTGATGGTGGCTGGGAAGCTCCTTCCTCTGGACCAGGAGCAGTGGGACAGTGGCTCAGAAGCCCCTACCTCTGGGCCGGGAGTGGTGGGATGGATGGCAGCCTGGAAGCCCCTTCCTCTGGGCCAGGAGTGGCAGTATGGATGGTGGTCCCAAAGCCCTTTGGGAGTGGCGAGAAGGATGGTGGCCTGGATGCCCCTTCCTCTGGACCAGAAGCAGTGGGATGGCAGCTCAGAAGCCCCTACCTCTGTGCTGGGAGCAGCAGGACAGATGGCGGCCCAGAAGCCCCTTCCTCTGGGCCGGAAGCGACAGGAGGGATATGTTATGCATTTTTAAAAATAAGATTGAGTTTGAAAACCTATTTCTAGGGAAGCTTTTATTTAATATTACCTTCATAATTCTTTTTCACTCTGCTTACTGAAAATTTTGGGGGATAAGGAATTATCTTCAGATTAAAATGTAAAACAGTCCTAAGCTCCTGTGATGATAATGAAGAGCCCTAAGAAGGGAAATAGGATAAGAATATCTATAGTCATTTTAATACAAATAATATTAAAATCAAAGTACTATATTACATTAAGCAAAATTAAACAAAAGCAATTATATTGTATGATTTTTTATGAAAAAAAGAGCAGTTAAGATGCGTTATGTACATGTACCAACTACACATAAGGGATATAAATATTATGTACTGTAAATAGGTACTAATATAAAAGAAAATAATAGTATACCCAAAAGCAATTATATTTATGTTTTTTGTTTTTTAATTTTTATTTCTATATATATGTGATACATGATAAATATTTTCCCTAGGGGGTATTGATAGACATATATATCACATCTTTTGTACTTTGCTTGCTCCTCCCATCAGACTTATCTCTTCCTATTGGACAAAGTTTATTTGTCTGTTTCCTATCATCTTTCATTTTAAATATATGTTCTCATTTGAACAGAATCAGGCATCTCATATATCATTTTAAAGTTCAAATAATTAAAAAAAACACCCTAACTTGAAGACTAAAAGTGATGGGGGTAATTTTTCATATAATATTAATGTCACAATATGTGAAATTTCCTAAAAAACAATCTTAGTACTGATTAATGCACAATATTTAAGAAAAAAATATTGTTTTGATAGGCTTGAGAGATCTCTGGTGCATGAAGAGAATTTTGTAATATACATATCCTTAACATTATTATTCACGCTTCACTTGATATTTATAATGTGTTTTAATTATGTTATAGATAGTTGTGTATTTTATAAATACCTTTATTTTGTTTTGGCTTTTCTGTCTCAATTTTCTTCCTAAATTTTTAAAGATATGATCCAAAAAATGATTCATGGTCAACTATGGCACCCCTGAGTGTTCCTCGAGATGCTGTTGCTGTGTGTTCCCTTGGAGACAAACTCTATGTGGTTGGAGGATATGATGGACACACTTATTTGAACACTGTTGAGTCATATGATGCTCAGAAAAATGAATGGAATGAGGTACTCTCCTAAAAATATTCAAAAGAGTGTATTCCACTTTTAAGATATGTTTTTGAAATTAAATCTATTCTCTTCAACTCTAGAGCTTAAAAGAATCTTTTGGTAAAATTGATAGTATGTGTTTCATCTATACCTTAGAGAATTACTAGTAGGTCTAGTGATCCTTATCAGCATTCATTAGTGCTTACATGAAAGAGCATAGTCCTAATTATTGGTTGATGCCCAGAAAAAAAAAAAAAAAAAACAACTTCAAACTCCTCTTATACAGACTGCTCCTAACTTCTTCATTTATTCAAGAAATTTACCACACACTAGGTGGCCAGAATTAAACTTTCTCAAAGGAGCTGGACATTTAATAGAGCAAATTTCAAGGATTGTACAGAAAGGAGAACTGCAAGGACATCTTGGAAGTGTTAAATGCAAATGGCCCTTTTGAGAGCTTTACAAGTGCTAACTCTTGATTTATTTAAAAAATATGGATAATTTGCCAGCTAAATAATAGGTTAATAAAAATGGTGCATGGTTAACTTTTTTCCATCTTCACAAACAGGCAAACTTTGTAATTAAGATCCAACTTCACTTACATTATAGTGACTTCATCCTACACTAAATTGTATTGGGTTTTAAATAAACAGCTATTAATATTACCATAGCTGATAACAGTTTCTGTCTCTGTCCTCTAAAATATGGTTTATTAAAACTCTCAGAGCATGTAGCTAGCTCCATACTTTAATAATGTTTAAGACCAAACAAATTGAAAGGAAAAATGGGCAACAAGGTTGTTATATCAATTGCAATAATACAAATGTGTGACTAAGCTTACAGAATTTACTTTTCTAAATATTATACACCAGTAACTAGGGAGACCTAGATACTATTTCTGGCTCTCTCATTCTTTCTTTACCTTATCTTGCAGAGAGTGAATGAGAATTAACAGAGTGGAACTGTAATTATGTAATTCAAATTTTTGTTATTCATTATTCAAACTGGCAAAATTACCTTGATAGGTATTTTTAGCTGTAATTTTTCAAGTGAGAAAATTGTGAGCAAGTTGAAATTCACTCAAGATCTTCTGATACTTAAACACTATTTTAAATGCCTTCCCCGCATTACACTGTTATCTGGACTGCATTTTCTCTTATCTTTATACAAGATGAAGTTTAGACCAAAATAAGTAAGGTCTTTTCTACTCCAACATTCTATAGTATGATAAAGACAGAATTCAAACAGTGCTCCTTCCCTTGCTTTTGTTTTAGGAAGTTCCTGTTAACATTGGAAGAGCTGGTGCGTGTGTTGTGGTGGTGAAGCGGCCTTAAAATTATCTTTGTCAAGTACAATGAAACTGGTTAACTTCAAGAAAGAGAGAAGGAAGAAGGGCAAAAGAAGAAATATGCTTTCATTCAGTAATTAATTACCAAAATTGAAAATTGTTTCATTTTAATATGATTTGGAATTGTTTTAATTTGTAAACCCTAAACAAGATTTTCAACATGAAATGCATAGGAAAGCTAATTTTATGTGCTGTCCCAGTTGATAATATAAAGGGAAATCTAGTTAGGTAGGTTTAGCTTTGTTACTACAAATGTTAAAATAGTTAATAAAATTAATAGTGATGAAAATGTAAGATTTATAAAAGCATTAGTAATTTCTGATAAGACCATTAAAAGTTAATTTTTTCCTCTTTGCCAATTGCAACTGTTAGGTAAATTTATATAACGCTCACCAATCTGAAAATTGTTTGACATTGTTTATTCTCAGGATATGAAAGTATGACAGAACTGTTCAAATCAATACACTGGATTCCAATCAACTTGGGGATATATCAAAGCTCTGTCACTTACGAGTGGTATAATCTTTTTAATTGAAAAATGCTACACTATTGCCTGGAATATAATTTAGTATAAAAAGATAATGTCTGTCTTAAATGCAAAGTCTGATTGTCAGTGAGATACCATTTTTATTCAAATAATATGCCCCAAAACTAAATAATCCCTCACACTTACCAACATGAAAGGATTTACAATTTCATGGCTGAAAAACTGGTTCATTGTCATAATTTGATATGCTGATTATAGTATATCAAACTTTCACAAACTTACTTTTCTACCTGAGAACACATATAAATTTTATATATCTTAACATATTGTTGCCAGTGAAATAGTTGCCCTTGAAATATTATTGTGATGTTAGTTACACAATTTTCTTTTGGTACTGGGGATCGAACTGGTGTCATTGTGCTTGCAAGGCAGGCAGCAGAAACACTGAGTTAAATACCCGGCCCTAGTTACACAATTTTTACAGTAACGGTGAATATTTATGATTGATACAAATTCTGACCTCAGTTTCAGATAGTCATGGGCACATTTGAATACAGTAATATTCTCAAGTACTTATGTAAACTCTGTAAACACATACTATTAAGTTAATCAACTTTTTAAAAATGTGTAAGTGAATTAAAATTCAGAAGATGTTATATAATATTAACATATAGAAACACCAGAATCTTTAGTATGCATGTACAATTCTAGAGTTAACTTTTATTTACCAAAATATGCTTTTATGTTAGTGATATATGTATCTGGAGGAAAATGTTAAAGATATATACACAAAAAACACATTTTTTTAAATTTTAAAAAAGGTGATTTCAGTAGTATTTTAACTTTAAGTTCTTTTTTTCATTCAATTATAAAATTATAATGTGAAATATTGAAACAAACTTCCTTATGAAAGTAAATTTTAAGTAAACTTTCAATTTTAAAGTTTTTGCAGTATGTTCTTTTAAAAAACGTGGTATTTTACATTGTGAAACCATCAAAATCTAGAGAGATGCTCATAAAATGCACAATCTTTTAAGTTTGAAAAAAGATAACTTGTACAACTATATTTGTACTATGAATTTAAATAAAATCTATTTCCTGTGGTTATGAAAAGAATATACCTTAGAATATGTCAAGTGAAACCTACTTGAACTTTCTGATCTTGTATTACTATATTAGCTAAAATAATTACAAAAATTCCCTCATTTGTTTCTTTTTTTAATACTTTAATTGCTTTAATGTGTACATAATGATATATATTCACAAAATTTATACAGCTTATGTCATACCAACACTGGCGCATTACATACCTACAACACTTTAGCAGTTAGCCTGAAATGTCAAGAAAATCCTTATAAAAGGATAAGATTCTGTTACACATAATCTGTGCTGAAGTCATAAGCATCATCCTCTTTAGTCTTTTCATCCAAGATAATAAAAGATCTTGCAGATGGTTCACCTGCTATAGATTCCTCTGGCAGTGCCTCACCTATCTCTTCTATAGGAGATGTGTCTGAGATCCTTTCCTTATCTTCCTTATCTTCACCGTCCTCTCTTTCCTCCTGTTTCCCCTGATGCCTCAGTTTTGGCAATTCAGGTATGTCTTTTTCCTCCCTTATTCCATTTGTCAGGCCGGAAGACCAGAAAAGTATGCTATTGGCTGGAGAAGGCCCTGGATGGCTTCTATGTTGTGTGCATTGTTCTTTTCCAGTTCTTCCAGATTAAAGCCCCTTTCACATCTGCCACAATATTCTCACTAAAATGTGGGGGAGGAGTCCAGAGTGTAGGGGGTTGGCAATAGTAACCTAATGAAGCACCTGTCCACTCAGACCACAGCAATTTGGCAGCATGTTCAACATTTGGACTTCTACCTTTTTGGTGCAGACCTCTTCTCTGAGCAAGATTAGTAAAAATTCCAGAGAATTCTTACAGTCTGGGACATTATATTTTAGAACTACCTGTCTAGCATCAGCCTGGGACAGGATGACACTGGCAGCCTCCAATGGCTTTAGTACCTCAATACTTGCTTCACTCCTCAGAGCAAGTGCAGTGGAGGAGTTAAGTGGTGACACAATAAAACATGGACTATCTATGATTGTGATCTGTTTGTCCAAGTGAACAACCTTCATGCTCCTTGTAAGCCCCATGGATATACCAACATTACATACTCATTCTTGTTTTAAACTATGATGCTGCTTTTCCCCACATTTGGGAAACCATTCACTCCAACCTGGATAGGCTTTCCCAAAGTCTCTTGAAAACCTCCAAGAAGTTTCAAAAGGCCCTCTTTTCCAAAGCAGACTTTACATTTCAATGAAACAGTTTTCTTACTTACCTTGGTTATCTTCCCTTTATCCTTCGGATTTGTAAAGGCTTTGAAAACCACTGTTGGCAATTCTTTCCTCAAATAATTGAGCCAATTCTCCAAATTCTCCTTTGGTACCAGATCTGATTTATTTAATATGAGTACCAGCTTTTTATGTCCATTCTGGACAATCACCTCTTCTACCTGAGGACACCTGCAACCAAGAGGATCTCTGGCATCCAGTACCTCTAGCAAAATATCTGAGGCCTCGATCACCTTTTTAAGTTCCTGACAATGTACTGTCTTCGGATTCTGTTTGCTTAGCTTGGCTTTCTTAGGTTTGCTTTGTCCAAATTCCTCCACAGATTGGACATTAGATGGTTCATCAGCAGGATCAGTTTCAAGTTTTCTTTTCTTGTCTTGTTCCTTCTGCCGATCAAGTCTCTGCTGCTGTTTTAATTCTTCAAGCTGCTGTTATCTTAGCTCAGCTTCCCAAAGAAGAGCCTCCTTAAAGGGGGAACTGTTTGCAATTCCCAGATCTTTCCTAGGCTTTGTTGTGTCCCCGGTTTTTGTCCTCCTTCCTCAATTTTAGATGGTGTTCTCGAACCCTTTTTTTTAATAGCATTTATGGCAGGTCATGCGTTTACTCACTTTCTTTAACTTTGGCCGCTTCATGCTGGCTGTGGAAACGGTAGATGCAGCATGAGCAGCAGGGACAAGTTGACTCTGCTGGCACCACGTGCAAACTCCTCATTTGTTTCTTACACCTGCCGTTGTTGTTATTTCAAAATAGAGGACTATGGACTTTTCTAGGTATAGTGAAGATAGAGATATAGGGTCTTTAAACCATTGGTAGCCCTGTTGGAGCTTTTGGATTGATTTAACATTTTATTCAAACCAGTGTAGAAGTTACTTCAACCTTTATTTCTAACACAAATTTTGACCTGCCAAGTTAAATTAGGCATAAACCAGAGGGTAAGGTACAGATAAAAGGACATTATCACTGCCCAGCTCACCAATGCTCCAGTAATGGATACATGGTAGACTGGTCAAGCAAATGGAGATTGCAGACTATCTTCTTCATATTGTAGCTATATTTACTTTAGTTTCAGTATTTATTCATTTGTAAGAAACACACAAATTTGCCACTGCATGGTTGGATTTGAAAATTATGTTTGCGACACTATGGCCTAATGCAAGATGCCAAAATCTGAGCAGATTTGAGCAAGAGTGCTAGAGAACTAGAGAAGCCAAGAGCAGTAAAACACACTTGTACTTGTCTCTGTCAAATATAGTTGAGAGAATAAGGGATAAGGACTGGCCCCTTGCTGCCATATTTCAGTTGAGATGACCTATCAGAACGAGTGTAAACATAGTAAAACGGGGATGATAATTTATATATTCTTTGAAAAAATGTAAGTGTTCACATTTAGACATTATATTCAGATTGGAAAGAAAATTTTGCTTCTTGATTTTTCTGTTTTTCATTATGACTGTGCTCAGTATCCTCTACAATACAATATTCAGGCTTCATTATAATGTTCCATCACTAATTTTTCTGTATTTCTACATGTCTTATAGAGACTATGAAATGCATTCTATACCACACAGCCACTGAAGGAGATTCTGAAGCACTAAATTCTGGTCACCCCTCTCCAAAATTATGCCATACATCAACTTGACTCGGATGTATCTGCATTTCCATTTTGATGTGGAAGGAACACTTAAAGGCAGCTAATTTCTAGAGTCCCAAATACAATTACATTATGGTAAAATGAATATTTTTCCTTTTCCCCATTTCCCAGCAAATAATTCCTAAAATCACTGAGCTCCCCATAACCATGCTTGTCTTCTTGTATGCTAGTGAGTTGCCTGGTAGCTTATAGCCCCCAGATAACTTCAAGATGTGGCTGGTCACAGGAGATACTAAGCAATGATTAGAGGATTGGGACTGTTCAAACCTATTCACCAACAACTAAGAAGGGTTTGGGCTGCAGTTTCAATTGACAACCAATGATCAATGTTTAACCAAACAGACTTTCATAATGAACCCTCTATAGAAACCCAGAAGTACCTGTTGGGGAACTTTGAGACTGCTAAACTTGTGGAGGGTTCTTTTGGGGGAAGATGGCTTAATCAGTGGGTAGAAAAGCTCTACATCTCTTCCCTCATATCTTGCACTATCTTTTCCTTCCATGTTCATCAATATTTTTGTAATATCCTTTATAACAAGGTAGTAAATATATGTAACTATGTCCTGTAAGCAGGTCTAGAAAATTAATTGAACTTAAAGAGCAGATCCTGGGAACTCCAATTTACAGCAAGTTGATCTGAAGCAGAAGTGAATCAACCTAGGGCTTACAAGTGACATTTGAATAGGGAGAAACAATACTGGAAACTGAGGCTTCCACCTTTGAAATCTGATGCTATTTCCAGGTAGATAGGATCAGAACTGAATTTACTAGAATACGTGCCATTGGTGTTCACTACAGAATTTCTTTCTTGTTTGGAATTTGGGAAGAAAAAAGATCACACACATTTTGTCACAGAAGTATTTTGTTTTCTGAGAATACACTAGGAAACACACACAATTTGTTTCTTCCTATATACAGGCAATACAAAAAACTGAAATTTTAGATTTTCTCTGAATTTTTTTATATATTAAATTTTTTTATCAGCATATGTTTGCAGTACATACATTTTACAATCATAGTGGGGAATGGGTAAATGTACCTGCTACAGCATATTTAATTTTGTAATTCCCTTGCCCTTCCCACCTGGCTCCATCCCTCTAATTCCTCTTTCTAACTTTTTATTCTTGTTGATATTATTAAACTTAGTTCATGTTTATGACATGTTTACATTCATTGAGATTATTAGGATCCTGTACATGGCATATCTTTATTCTACTTATTTCCCCATGCCTTTCTCCTCACCCCTCACCTTTGGTCCCTTGGACCCTTTGCCACTTTTTGAAAGAGATCATCCCCCTGTCTTCTTGCATCCTTACTTTGTTATTCTCTTTCTTTGTACTTTGCCTTACTCAAATGAGAGCTATCATGAGGTATTTAAGCTTGTGCGTCTGGTTTATTTCACTCTACATTATATTTCCCAA